GGGAAGCAGCCGGGCGCAGTTCCCGCCAGCAGGAACGCTCTTCGGCGCCAGCCATCCCGTTGGTGTAAGGAACGACCGGATCCCACCGCGGACCGGCCCCCAGAGCAGAAAGTTGAAGGCTGGAGACCGAGCGCCAGGCTTCGTACGAACTGTCTCCGGCTGCACTTGCCCCCTCCCTGCCACAGCCTCCAACAGGTGCTGCAGCTCCCAAGCCCTTCAGCTACCTCACCAAGAGCTCCCATGCTCACTGCAGCCCTTCGCTGAACTGCTCGAAGCCCCTGGTAAGAACCACCCTGGGCCTGAGGCTAAGGAAGGAGAGAGGCACGCCCAGGCTTGATGCAAGACCTTTGAATTGCGATAAAAACACCATAAGGCACAACCACTATCAATGGCAAAGTCCAAACACTACTCTGCATACACATAATAGTACAGTACATGCTCCTTTAGACAGATTCCCTAGAAACAGCATGAGGTTTGCAGCTGTTGCCTCACATGATTACCAAATATCTTGCAGTCCAGTTCTGCAGGAGGAGGTAAAGAAAAAGTAGACCAAAGCAGCCCAGAATAAGGGCCAGTTAAATGGGGTTAGATGAAAAGAGAGAAACAAACAAAAGAAAGGAGACATTGTATATTTATATAGTCCAAGAAAAATAAACATTCTGAATACAATATTTTTCTTCCACCTAGAATAATTCACTGTTGTTGAGAGAGACTGCAGGGCCAGCAAATTCTGCCTCAAGTCCCAAGACACATCTTCTGGGCTACTGGTTGAGGATGATGGAGAATGCTGTGTGCTGCCTAGGAAACACTTGAAACAGTAAGCTTATGTTACTGTTTCTTGATGCTCTTAAAATTACAGGTAAGAAAAGTCAAACAGGATAACACATTCATTATGGAATTCTCACTTTATTTCCACTGATTTGTGAAGAAAACACAGAGTACATCAGCTATGTATATTTTGACTATGAGGCATCACCAAGTTAACTTCTAGTCACCTTACATACCACTGCATACATTAAGGCTTGCAAGCATTCCCACAATATAATTAAACTTATAATAGGAAAATGGAAGAAAATAAAGGGATATGCAAGAGTATCAATCTATAATCACCATTACTAAGACTGATCAACACTAATTCTGTAAGAACAAGTAAAAATGTAGTTGTTCTGTAGGCTTAAGTCAAATCACAGTAAGAAACAGTGATCTCTGTCTTTGTTTTGTGACTCCTGTCAGGTTCAGTAGTCTGACAATACAGATGCATACTCTTCTCTGCCCCTTAAAGGCAGAAAGAGGATTAGAATTAGTGGCAAGAAGACAGAGTTTACCTTTTACATCAGAAATTTTTGCTCCTGCTTAAGTAGAAACCTGTGATTCATCATCCAATAGTTTTTTTACTATATCGTAAAGCAAAAGACAACATGCATTCTCTAAGAAATCTGCGACACCACTTTCCCCACAGGTTTTTCTAATATTGCAGCCCATTCAGTTAAATACAGTGTTTTAATCAGCTTTAAGGGGAGAGAGATTTAATCATCACTACACATTCTGTGCTACTGCCATGGACTTCCTTTAAACATCAGTAATGTACACTGCTTGCAATAACATCCAAAGAAAGCATATGCGTTTTGTACATTCATAAGAAGCTATGGAAGCCTTTCTCTGGATTACAAACCTAGAGAAGCAGTTATTCACTCCGATCCTTTGGCTCTCGATATTTCCACTCAATATAATCAAAGATGTCTTCTTCACATTCTACTGGCAGGGCCTCCCCAGCAACTCCTACAAGAAAATTACAGATGTTATTTGAAAGGTGGAAGGTCTGTACAATCCTGAAATGCCAAATACATTGCAAGATTAAGACAAAACTGCTGTAAATAAGAGAGACAAAAAAACCAGAAGAACCCCTGCAAGCTTTTCGTACAGTGCTTAGGTACTGACTCTCATTAGTGTCAAAGGAAATAAAGTAACTTTAACTGCATAACCACATGGACCTAAAGACATTAATGCATGGATTTATGCATAGCCAGTCCCCCTCCAAAACAGAACTGAAGGACGTATCTTGTTAAAATAGTGAGAAACCACACATATGCAAATGCAAAAATAGTAGATATGTAATTAAGTAGATTAGGTGGCCCAAAGAGGTACCTTTGTGCCACAGTGCTGCCTATATATAAGTAGGCCATCTCTTCCTGGTATAACGGTGTCCAGTACCAGAAAGGACACTGAAAAATTTCATAAGCTACAGTATTTATCAGAAGTATTTCCAGTACGCTGAAGAACCAATTTAAGCAGATCACCACACAAAGCACAGAACTAGAAAAAATACTGTGTGTAAAGGCCCACTGACCAGTGACACCCAGGGGACGGATTGTGTACTCATTGATCGTGAAGCCCTTTTCCAGAGCATGAGCTCTCATGTTCTTATTGAATATATCACTTCCTGTGAAATACAGTACACCACAGTAATACTGATCTTTGGGGATAAGCCTAGAATAAAAGTGGAAGAAAAGTACATATTCAGAACAAGTATATAACAAAACAGTTACAAACCATTTGGAATTCAGCCATCTAGACACTGTTCTAGGTTTATTTCCTGTTTACATGCACACTGCAACTCTCAGCATTTGATTTCCCCACAATCCAGATGCAAGAATGTGTATCAAAGAAAGGTTCAGCATATCTACCCTGACCCAGAGGTTACTGGGTTCAGCCACTACATAGTTATGGTGCTTGCACTCCTGCCAAGAATTAATGTCAAAGCAGTCAATTCTGAAACTGGACATAAAATCATGACATAAAATTCAGCATTCTCGCTAGTAACATGTTTTAGATACTGGCAATTGTACAGTGGCTTCCATACAGCAGAGGAATCAGAAACAGCTAATGCCATATTCTGAACATGGAAGCAGAAATCTGAATGCAGAACTTGATGCAAATGCCTACTATGTAGCAGATAGCTAGGTAGGGGTTTTGGGATTGGGGCTTTTTGTGTATGTACCTGATATCAATTCTTCTGTGTGGATAGGCTGTCCCATCTTCTTTATTTGGCAGCTGACAGACACCCTGTGAGGAAGCAAGAAAAGCAAGAACTTAAAAATTAAACAGTTTTGAGATCAGTCTTCACATACCCACCCCTGAACACTCTCTAAACAATCCTCAGTCACCTTGGAAAGCTATGTTAAATTCCTACTGAACAGATTAAGTATTTTAGTAGAACAGGTTGATGTCATAGTACTGAGAATCACTATTTTACACTATTAAGAGGACCATAGTTCAAAGTAGCATGTAACTGCTTCTGGAGTTTTTATTACAGCAGGAAGGATCACAGGACTTCTCATGTCCTGTTCCTCTGCCCTAATTATTATCAACTCCAGCATTCCAAACAACATATCTTGTATATATCCTAGCTTCTGTTAGGAAAGGTAATGCATCCCTCATCACCAAAAAAGCCTTACCATGAATTTGGTGTCACCTTTAGACAGCATATCTGTGACAAAGTGGACTTTTTCCAGTTGTTCTACAACTTGACGCAGAAGTTTGGGCTAGGAACAGTGACAACACAGAAGAGATTTCAAAAATAACAAGAATATCTTACCCACGTACCAAACAATAGCCCACATAAGTTCAGGACATCACTATAATGATGTATATTACTGTACATGAAATCTGACCCACAGAGGAAAAAAGCTGATAAAATTATAGCTGTGCAACAAAAAAAACCATTCCACTGAAATCTCCACATCAGATTGTTTTGTTGGAAGAGACAAAACTCATGTCTTGGTTTGAGCTTTGAACTTTTAATCAATCTATAATCATCTATAGAAGCAACACAAGAAATGCAAACTTTTCTCCAGACTTTGTCCAAAAAGATAAGGGCAGCTGGACATTTGCTTCTCATCCAGAAGATTACAGCTACATAAGAAATATCTACTCTACCCTTAATCTCTAGCTTTATCTAGCTAGCTGTTAACAGCTCCACATTGTAAAAGCACGTGAATTTGAGGGGGTGGGGGAAGTGTGTGTGAGGAGAAGAGGAGGGACACAAGAAGACATACTGAGTAGTTCTGCAGTAGGAACACAACATGATACATGACCTGAGATGTGATTATCACTCCTCAAAATAAATATGGTGATCCAAGAGAGGAGTTTACTATTACAATAAAATAAAATGATGCAAGAAGCTGCAATACAAGTGTGAGGCTACACATCTTCCAAATATACCCTCATGGAAATAATGCACAGTACTGATCCACTGTAGCAAAGAAACTCACCTGTTTGGATGATTCAGATGTGAAACTTGGATGGGTTATGAGAATGTCCATATCGCCACTTGACTCTGCGCCTAGGCAAGTAAGCAAATTAAAATACCTCTGCATCCATCTCACCTCTTCCTAGAAACGTATTATTATTGGTAGAAAATAGTCACTATTCAAGATATTTGTGAAAAAAAAAACTAAGTAAGAGAATGTTGTTCTTCAAAAAGCTTATAACCTGACATATCTCAGAAAATACCCAAGAATTTCTTGCTGTACTCTAGCAGTGTAGCACAAATGTTGTTAATGTAAAAGTAAAGCAAACTATTACCATGTTACAATATACTACTCTTCATGGGGGCAGGGTGGAGAAGCGAGAATTTGTGTTTCATCACTGAGCTAACTAGTCAAGACAACACAAATAGGAAGAAGCCAGGTTCAAGCACAGAGTTTGTCTAGAAGGTGTCACGGTTTGACTCAGGATCAGCAATTAAACCAGAGACACCAAAGCTCTCGATCCCCTCCCACTTCCACCCAGGTACAGAAGGAGAGAGAAAATGAGACATTCTGGATTGAAAACTAAACTAGACACCTTTAATTAAATAATAATGCTGAAAGAAAATACATACAATTATGTACCCTATTGCCTCTCCCCACCCCCAGCAACTCCCACAGCACTCTCCTTAGCACAGCTCAAACCAGGACAGAAGGATAACATACAAAATAATAAATCTTACTTATTAGCCTGTAAAAACCAACAAGATCAGTGTACCAACCTCGTCTAAAACTGCCACAGACTGTAGCAATATAGTTTGGGTCCAGCTTCTTTACCTCATTCAGCACGATTTCCTGTGTAAAGGAAAGATATCAGTCATGCACTGACCACCAGTGCCTCAAATTCTTGATAAAGACATTCTTACCTGCATTTGCAGCATTTCTTCCCTTGGGATTCTTTTCTCAAAATCTTCAAAATATCTGCATATATATAAAAAAAAAAAAGTGTCTGAAAGAATCAGGGGTAGCATCTGAACATTTCAGTCAATTAAATGTGTATTAGAGGAAAGAATACACCTTGTATTACTGTCACATCATAAAAAACTCCTCCCCCTTCTCACCAAACATCTTGCCAAGCAATAGTATAAACTCACACATTTGTCAATACTTAGAAGATGGTTTAATTGGCTATTATTTCTACTGCATATGATGAATTGCTATGACATGGGAGTAATATTACCATATAGCCAATTGGTTTGTATTTACGTAGCCTTCTGAAAATCAGAAAGGTTCACCAGCCAGCAGAAGGAACAGGTCACTCACCGATGGTCAGAGGTGATCTATGTTGGGAAGAGCTAAATAGAAGCTCAGAACAATATCTTTGCATGCAGCTGCAGAAAACAGACTGCCAGCATGCTGCTTGACTGCAGAGAAAAACAAGCTAGGTGAAACAGCGATGCACCTGACCAGCATATTTGTCACCCCTCCAGCACCACAATCACCGACAGCAGGCACTGGCAGGAGGATACTGCAGCCTCAGAGCCACAAGTTCCTCGACATTCATTACACAACCACTCCAATCTCAAGCTCTGCAGACAGAGCTTCTGGATATGGGACACCACACCCTGCTCCAAGAGCTGCAGTGCAACTAGGGACAAAAGGACCACCATAGAACACCACCATTCCTTCAACTCAGCACTTACCAGAGGTTCTGAAACATCATCTGAGCAGAATGTTGGAAGCAGACCCAAGGGCAATGTGTGCACTAGCAACATGGATAGGTCAGATGAGTTTTCTTATACTTACTTAACAGTGAAAGGCTTTCCCTTGAATGCTCTCACATATAAAGACAGGGATGCACACTGGGTATGGGGCTCAGATGAGCAGTGGGAAGGTGACAGGCAGGCCACATATTCCATATGCCTGCCACTGTGGGAAACTGGCCTCACACAGGATCAATTCAAATACAGGGCTTAATTTGGTTAACTTTCAGCTTCTTGCAAACACAGCTATAGTTCTTCCAGAACTTGTAGCACACTGGAACAGCCATTCTTCAAGCAGCATTCAAGCTGCTAAGTACTGAGGGACAGACACTGTATGGCATTCTCAGCTTCAGACATGCAAAAGTCTTACCTTGCTCACAGCACATAACAAAAATAGTCTGGGCACATTGCCAAGACACATCACTGGTATCTTGCAAAAGTAATTCTCCACAAGCTAAAAAAGTAATCTGAATTTAATTTCATCTCTGGATGGAGACTAAGCCTACTGAATTTCAACCCCAATGAAGCAAAAGCTTTGAACAGCTGCTGAAAACCATGTAAAGCACACACAGAGCAGAATCTTAATTGGTCTGTGTAACCTTAACACTACATCCTGGTGTCTGAAGGAGTCATTAGAAAAGCCAAGCATGTGCACCTAAGAAAGCTTACTTCAACCCAATTCGCTGGTGATGGGTCAACTTGTGCTCAATTTTTCTTAGATCTAGAATTAAGAAAAACAAAAAAAGAAGTTACTTGAGGACTAATTACCTTACAGTAAGTTTCCATCAGAGCGATATATAACAAGAAAACAGCAACCTCAAAGGAAGAGATTTAAACTGACTACTCAACAGCTGATGAGTACAAACACATAGAACACTTCCCGATAAAAGACTTCAACAGACCATTCACCTCAAAGCCAAAATCCTTGTTATTTTCCATGTAATCTGGAAGCACTTTCCATTGGATATGTATGTAATGCCTATAGCCTGTGCACTAACTTTAGCATCCTATACGTTTTCCTCATCAGAACAGGCAGCTTGACATAAAAAACACAGTACTGGATCATGAACTGAGGACATAAACTTACACTTACCTTCCAAAGTCTTAATTCCTTCCTCAACAAACTTCCTAGCAGCAGCAGGACTGCAACGAGAAGAGGCAATCTGTCATCAAGAACAGCAAGTATCTTACAACACTGAAAAGGACATTAGAATTCACTATAACTGCCTAGGTTCTTCAAGATCAAGACCGAACTAGCTTCCAATGCTTACCCAGCATACACAGTTCAGTTTGTATGTTCAATTACCAGAGATGGCTATCCAAGACTTAGCCTGCACATTTTCTAGCACTGATATAACTGTGTAGTGGTATATAATTGTTAAAAATGATCAAAGATCTAACCAAATAGGCAATACTGCTTTAGACAACAATATTGGATGCATTATAAGGACTATTTTAATCACTGAACCAGCTTAAGGGAACAGGAACACAGCATCACAACTATGGTGTCTCAGTGTGGGCACTACAGCATCAGCTAAAACTCATTTACTTCATTATTTGTAATCACACCAATTCTATTCATCACTCCATCAAAGAAACACAAAAAGGGGAAAAACCCCAAACCAACCAGCCAACCAAAACTTTACCCAATGCCAGTAACTCGTGTCAGGAGATTGATAGATGCACTTTTATCATCTTGTCGAATCTGAAAAACAACACAAACCAAACTTTCCTTTGCTCCATTTGCAATAATCAATAAATCTTGAGAAGTTAAAACAGCTTAGTCAGACTCTGCTTTGGAGAATCACTATAAATCAGTGCAAAACAGAACCAATGACACTATGTCCCAAGCCAGAAAACTACCTAACTACCCCTGAACAGGACAGTTTAACCACAAAATTCCATAGCTTTCAGTCAGAATTCCACTTATCACAGGAAACATTCACATACTGATAATATAGCCTATAATACTTTTATATAGAGTTCTATGGCATTGGTTTGGCTTCTCATTCTCAGCTTTCTACTTGCCATCGACTCCACATCCACCACTCTTACGCTTGACATCAGCCTCTCCAGAGACAAGAAAAATTGCATAAAGAAGCAGGCTACTTTGCAAGTTATAAAGAAAAGCAACCACTGAGAAGTACAGCACAACAGAAAAAACCCCCACCTTTTCCAATTTGCGTAGTTTCCCAGTTGATAAGAACTCATCAATCTTCTCAGCTATTTTAGCACCTACTCCATCCTGAATATTGTGGGACAGGATGAGATGAAACAAGTTAACTTCAAGATTAGTAAAGCCATTATGTATATATATGTATATATATATAGATAAAAGAGAAGCTCTGCAGAATTTAGAGTCCAGAAAGAAGAGGCTACTGAAATAATTATAAAATATTGGACCATAAAGTAGCATAAGAATGCAAGGGTGCAACAAAACCAGTAGAAATAACATAATTCCAGGGCCATATTAAAAGTACCCCCAAAACAAAAATTTAGAACTAGGCTTCAATCAATGCTGCTC